ATTAAACCTCTTTCTTTTGTAAATTGCCCAGTCTTGGGTATGTCTTTATCAGCAGCATGAAAATGGACTAATATGGTAAATTGGTACCAGTGGAGTGGGGTGTTGCTGAAAAGATACCCAAAAATGTGGAAGTGACTTTGGAACTGGGTAACAGGCAGAGGCTGGAACAGTTCGGAGAGCTCAAAAGAAGACAGGAAGATGTGGGAAAGTTTGGAACTCCATAGACACTTGCTGAATGGCTTTGACAAAAATGCTGATAGGGATATGAACAATAAGGTCCAGGTTGAGGTGGTCTCAGATGGAGATGAGGAGCTTATTGGAAACTGGAGCAAAGGTGACACTTGTTATGTTTTAGCAAACAGATTGGCAGCATTTTGCCCTTGCCCTAGAGATTTATGGAACTTTGAACTTGAGAGAGATGATTTAGGGTATCCGGTGGAAGAAATTTCTAAGCAGCAAAGCATTCAAGAGGCTATTTGCGTACTGTTAAAGGCGTTCAGTTTCAAAAGGGAAACAGAGCATAAAAGTTTGGAAAATTTGCAGCCTGACAATGCAATAGAAAAGAAAATCGTATTTTCTGAGGAGAAATTCAAGCTGGCTGCAGGAACTTGCATAAGTAACAAGGAGCTGAATGTTAATCACCAAGACAATGGGGAAAATGTCTGCAGGGCATATCAGAGACCTTTGTGGCAGCCACTCCCATCACAGCCCCAGAGGCCTGGGAGGAAAAAAGTGATTTTGTGGACTGGGCCCAGGGTCCACGTGCTGTGTGCAGCTTAGGGACTTTAATACCCTGCATCCCAGCCACTCTAGCCAAGGCTGAAAGGAGCAAACATAGAGCTTGGGCCATGGCTTCAAAAGGTGAAAGCCTCAAGCCTTAGCAGCTTCCATGTGGTGTTGAACCTGTGAGTGTACAGAAGTCAAGAATTGATGTTTGGGCCGGGCGCGGTGGCTCAAGCCTGTAATCCCAGCACTTTGGGGGGCCGAGACGGGTGGATCACGAGGTCGGGAGATTGAGACCATCCTGGCTAACACGGTGAAACCCCGTCTCTACTAAAAAAATACAAAAAACTAGCCGGGCGAGGTGGCGGGCGCCTGTAGTCCCAGCTACTCGGGAGGCTGAGGCAGGAGAATGGCGTGAACCCGGGAGGCGGAGCTTGCAGTGAGCTGAGATCCGGCCACTGCACTGCATTCCAGCCTGGGCGACAGAGCGAGACTCCGTCTCAAAAAAAAAAAAAAAAAAAAATTGAGGTTTGGGAGCTTCTGCCTAGATTTCAGAAGATGTATGGAAACGCCTGGATGCCCAGGCAGAAGTTTGCTGTTGGGCGGGGTGCTCATGGAGAACCTCTGCTAGGGCAGTGCAGAAGGGAAATGTGGGGTAGGAGCCCCCACACAGAGTCCCTACTGGGGTACTGCCTAGTGGAGCTATGAGAAAAGGGCCACTGTCCTCCAGACCCCAGAATTCTAGATCCACTGCCAGCTTGCACCATGCATCTGGGAATGCTGCAGACACTCAATGCCACCCCATGAAGGCAGCCAGGAGAGAGGCTCTACCCTGCAAAGCCACAGGGGTGGAGCTGCCCAAGACCATGGGAACCCACCTCTTGCATCAGCATGACCTGGATGTGAGACATGGAGTCAAAGGAGATCATTTTGGAGCTTTCAGATTTGACTGTCCTGCTGGATTTTGGACTTGCATGGGCCCTGTTGCCCCTTTGTTTTGGCCAATTTCTCCTATTTGGAATGGCTGTATTTACCTAATGCCAGTACCACCATTGTATCTAGAAAATAACTAATTTGCTTTTGATTTTACAGGCTCATAGGCAGAAGGAGCTTGCCTTGTCTCGGATAAGACTTTGGACTGTGGACTTTTGAGTTAATGCTGAGATGAGTTAAGACTTTGGGGGACTGTTGGGAAGGCATGATTGGTTTTGAAATGTGAAGACGAGATTTGGAAAGGGCCAGGAGTAGAATGATATGGTTTGGCTCTGTGACCACACCCAAATCTCATCTTGTAGCTCCCATAATTCCCACATGTGGGAGAGACATGGTGGGAGATGATCGAATCATGGGGCTGGGTCTTTCCCATGCTGTTCTCATGATAGTGAATGGGTCTCATGAGATCTGATGCTTTTAAAAATGGGAGTTTCTCTGTACAAGCTCTCTCTTGCCACCACCATGTAAGAAGTGCTTTTTGCCTTCTGCCACGATTGTGAGGCCTCCCCAGCCACATAGAACTGTAAGTCCATTAAACCTCTTTCTTTTGTAAATCGCCCAGTCTCAGGTATGTCTTTATCAGCAGCATGAAAACAGACTAATACACCTATAAAGTCCTAGGATCAGGGTTAAACACCACACTTGACCTTCAGGTGCCCACTTGGATCTCATCCAAGTGAATTTTCCTTTCTTTCCTGTTCTAAAGGCTTTAAAATAAACTTCCACTCCTGCTCTGAAACTCACCTCTGTCTCTTCTCCTGCCTTATGCCCCTCAGTTGAATTCTTTCTTCTGAGAAGACAAGAACTGAAGTTGCTGCAGACCCATAGAAAGTCGCTGCCAGTATCTCAGATACCTTCCATCAGTAACAGGACTACAGGCATGCACCACCATGCCCAGCTAATTTCTTTTAGTTTCTATAGATACAGAGTCTCATTATGTTGCCCAGGCTGGTCTCAAACTCCTGGACTCAAGTGATCCTCCCGCTTCAGCTTCCCAAAATGCTAGGATTATAGGTGTGAGCCACCATGCCTGGCCAAGCACTTTTTAAATAAAATTCTTATGATTCTAATATCAGAGCTCCTACCTGTCTTAAAAAACTTTATGATTTTAATATCAGAAATTCTATCTATAGGAACAATGGGTGTGCAAATGTGGTGCTATGTGCCTTTTGGCTACAAGGAAGTGAGTCAAACTGCAGCTTGATAAATGCTTAATTATAATTGTATTTCTGTCCATTATTCTTGCTAATCTTGTGACAACAACTTCATGAAGTGTGTGAGTGGGTGGGAGGAACACCTTCACAGAAGGAAATGTATGTTTTACTCTCAGGCAGATAGGAGAGGGCAGAGAGCTCATGTTATATCTGCTTTTTATTAATTGTCTTCAGCTCAAAATAATCCTTATACCAGAGAGACATTTTTTGGGATGGTATATTTTGATCTCCTATAGACTCTATAGACCACTCCTGCAGCCACTCAGATGCTGATGATGGGACTCAGGATACACCAACCCAAAATATGACCATAGGAGACCGGAACACATCACCCTAAAATACGCCTCTTTGACATATTGATTATTCTGAGCTAGTTATTCTGGGAAGCTGCAGACACAGAAGCAGCTATGAAAAGTTGTCCTTTTATCTCAATAAAGGAAATCTCCATTGATAAGGATGTCTCCCTCTCTGCACCAAGAAGACACTGATTATTAAATCACTAAACAGGTTTTTATTTTTTTGACATGGAGTCTCACTCTGTTGCCCAGGCTGAGTGCAGTGGCATGACCTCCACCTGCTAGGTTCAAGCAATTCTCCAGCCTAAGTCTCCTGAGTAGCTGGGACTACAGGCGTGCACCACCACACCTGGGTAATTTTTTCTTTTTTCTTTTGTTTTTGTATTTTTAGTGGAGATGGGGCTTTGCCATGTTGGCCAGGCTGGTCTCAAATTCCTGAGCTCAGGTGATCAGCCCACCTCGTCCTCCCAAAGTGCTGGCATTACAAACATGAGCCACCAGTCCAGCCCTAAATCACTAGAGACTCCTAAACAATCAAGACAGGATCAACTGAAATCTACATAACAAACCTTATCTCTGTTTAAGGTAATTTTGCTGGCCATCAACTGAATCTGTCTCTGTCTCCACATCCTTATTTGTTGTTGTTGCTGCTGTTGTTGTTGTTTTCAGAAAATGATAATATTTAAGCCTGAAGTTGAAAAGATTTTTTTTGTTAATTTTTATTTTTTAAGGTTTACTCTTTGGGAGGCCGAGATGGGCGGATCACGACGTCAGGAGATCGAGACCATCCTGGATAATCCGGTGAAACCCCGTCTCTACTAAAAAATACAAAAAAAAAAAAAAAAAAAAAAAAAAGATTTACTCATCTCTCTGGGTTATCTCCCATCTTGCATACAAGATGTATACATGTTACTAAACTTGTTTTTCTCTTGTTCAATCTGTCTTTTGTTACAGAGAGTCTCAGCTAAGAACTCATGAAGGGAAGATAGCAAGTCATATTTCTTCCCCTATACCAATATATTTAACAACTTTACACCACTCCCCTTCTATAAACTGAGTTATACCCAGACATCTTAGCCATTAGCAGCATTAGCAAAATAAAGAGCAAGATCACGTAACACAGATTGGTACCACTATAAATTCATGATCCCCAAACTAAACTAGACCATCAACACTGCCTGATATCATGGCTGTCTCACTAGTCAACCCATACTTCTTTCTTTACCATCTTAACCATTTTTTTAGTGTGCATTTCAGCAGTGTTAAGTATATTTACATTGTTGTGCAACAGATCTCCAGAACTTTTTCATCTTGCATATCTGAAACTCATTAAACAACTCCACCATTCCTGGTAACTGTCACGGGGTGGCAGGGACAACAATCTGGGCCAGTGGCTCTGGAGTAAAAGAATTTACCAAAAATGGTTGTAAAGAAAGGCAAATTTATGAAAGAAAGTAGGAAAAGCCAGGCACGGTGGCTCATGCCTGTAATCCCAGTACTTTGGGAGGCCAAGGCAGGCAGATCAAAAGGTCAAGAGATCGAGACCATCCTGGCAAACATGGTAAAACCTGTCTCTACTAAAAATACAAAAATTAGCTGGGCATGGTGATGCACGCCTGTAGCCCCAGCTACTTGGGAGGCTGAGGCAGGAGAATGGCCCGAACCCGGGAGGCAGAGATTGCAGTGAACTGAGATTGCACCACTGTACTCCAGCCTGGTGACAGAGTGAGACTCCATCTCAAAAAAAAAAAAAAAAAAATAGAAAGAAAAGAAAGAAAGACAAGACAAGACAAGACAAGACAAGACAAGACATTGCAATAAAGCAACTGGAAGCCTGCAAAAGAGGAGCTGACTGCAAAGAGACAAAGGTTAGCTGGAGATTTTATAGAATAGAACTTGGGCTGATTGATAATGCCAATGCACTGGGAGCATAAATTGCATTCTTTTGTCAGCTGAGATGTTTGATAAATTGAGGCGTTTGTTGGTAAGCAGTAAGTTTGTGAGTTACGTACATTATCTGAGTAGGAGGGCCATATGTCTTGGACAATATATCCTTGGGCATAAAGAAAAACAGACCCATAAAGAAAAACTGCTTCCTTTTTTGTTTATATGTCCTGAACCATGAAGAAAGGCATATTTATAGCTTATTTGTTTTATCTCTTTGCTTTCCCCTGGTCCCGCCAGCCTGACTCCTTTTCCCTAATTAGGACTCCACAGTAACAACCACTCTACTTTCTGTTTCTATATATTTGTTATATATTATTCTTTATAATAATAAACCTTCACCCCATCTTTAGTCTCCTCAGAGGTAGTCTGTCTACTTCTTTCACAGAGAATGCAAACTATATCAAATTATAGCCATCATGTCTATAAATTGTCCTCCATACCTACCTAACTTTCTTCCTTTCTTCTTGTTACAATGGAAGTGGTATTTCTTCCTCTTATACGAAACCAATCTCTCCATCTCTCCTCTAAATACCATCTCTGTTAATCTTCTCAGGAAGTCTACCCATCCTATTATCCTTTCTTTCTCTTATCCCTTTGCTGATGATTCTCTCAGCATTTAAAATGTCAGGCCTCTCCTAACATAACAGTAATAATAATGAAGAAAATTTTCCTGAACTCCACACCCAGGGACTAAGCATGCTGTCTTTTCTTCAGACAAATTTCATAGAAATGTTTAAACTTGCTGATTCTATTTTCTCATAATCTCCTCATTCCTTATTCACATTCATCTGGCTAAAGCCTCACAATTAAGGTCCCAGTGGCCCTTGTATTGCTAAATCTAGTAGACACTTTTCAGTCTGCATTGCATGATCTCTAGGCAATATTTGACCCTGTTACCCATCCACTTGTCTTTGAAAACACCCTTTCCTTGATTTCTATGTCATATTCTGGTTTTTTACCTCCCATCTCTTTAGCTGCTTATTTTCAGTTTCCTTTGTCCATTCCTGTTCTCTACCCAAGCCCTAGGTAATCTCTTCCTCCCATATGGTTTCACAGACTCTGTTAGTAACTCTCAAATCTCTATCTTTGGTGCATTCTTCTTTCTCCTAAACTCCAGACCCACACAGCCAACTGCCAAATATCCTAAAGGAGACATCATTTGGCTGTCTTGAAGACAGCTCAAAAGCCACATATCTAACACTATACTTACCATGTCTGCCCTTACCCCATATACTCCTTTTCACTGTCTGCCCAAGTACTCAAACCAAACTATTGACTTGTTCCTCTCTTTCTCTCCCAAATTGATCACCAAATTCTGTCATGTCCACCTCTTAAATGTATTTCAAATCTTCCCCCTTTTCTTTGCCTCTACTGCCACCACTCTTGTCCAAGCCACTAACATCACTTACCTGATCTATTTAGCATTCATTCATCAGCAAATAATTATTGAGTTTCCGATACTTGCCAAGCACTGCTGTAGACATTGAAGGTAAAGCAGAGAATCAGAGTTTCCTACTTAGTAAGTAACACCTAAATCTTTGAATCCATGCTTTGTCTTCCAACTCTTGAAAGAGACGTTGGTATAGAGAAATCGTTCTCTATTATATAATAAACAGTGCAGGCAAAATACATGGCAAATTACATTTGTACCAGTGTAGAAACGATAACATGTGGTGGAATAAGCTCTGGGGAACTGGAGAGTGGGTGCTTTGACTACAAAACAGCCTTTACTTAGGTGTAACCATTGTTTCCAAGAAGAAATATGAGCTAAGAGAGAGCATTCAGACCTTCTACTTTTTCAATTCTAGTGTTTATGTGACATTGCCTTATGGGTTTTTATGTATTTCCTTGCTTTTAAAAATTAGTCCTTTTTCTTTTCTTTTTTTATGTATTTTTTGTAGAGACAGGGTTTCACCACATTGGCCAGGCTGGTCTGGAACTCCTGAGCCGAAGCAATCTGCCTGCCTTGGCCTCCGAAAATGCTGATTATAGGCATGAGCCACTGCTCACGGCCTAAAATTTATTTTTTGTGTACCTTACATCCCATATTACAAGCCATTTTTCTATGCCAAAACATATATTTTGAAAATCACTGAGCTTTTTTTTAGAGGTAAGATGTCTGAACCCTGGAAATATTCTTAATCTAGAACAGGTCAGATCCCAGACATACTGAATAAATTATGTTCTGCTATATTTTTAGAAACACATCCAAAGATTTTTCACATAAAGAAACTTAGTAAATTTAACAGAATGAAATTTCCTTTACTTGACAAAGATCATATAGCAAAAATCTTCATAAAATACTAATGGAAAAACTTCAGATGTATCTCTTTAAAGAACAGGAACAAGAAAAAGATAACTCCTACCACTGCTATTTGTTATAACCACTAGAGGATATTTATTCTTGATTTTTTTCCATGTTTGGGTGTAAACTCATGATTATTTTGCTAGCCCTACCTCACCTTTCTAACATGATGGTAATCAGTCTCTTACAAAAGATCTCGTCTTTTAAAATCATTTGGAAAAGACTATGCCTACCTTCTTTTATTTTGGTAAAGTATATAATATAAACATTTCCATTTTAGTCATTTTCAAGTGTACAGTTCAATGGCATTAAATACATTCACGTTCTTGTACAACCATCACTACTATCCATCTCCAGAACTTTTTCATCATCCCATACTGAAAACCCATACCTATTAAACAGTAACTGCCCATTCTTCCCTTTCCCCAGCCCCTGGTAAACACTATTCTACTTTCTGTCTTTATGATTTGACTATTATAGGTACTTCATATAGGTGGATTTATACAATATTTGTCCTTTAGTGCCTGGCTTATTTCACTTAGTGTATAATGCCTCCAAAGTTTATCCATGTTGTACCATGTATCAGAACTTCATTCCTTTTTATGACTGAATAATATTCCATTATATGTACATGCAACATGTTTCTATCTATTCATCTGTTCCTGGATATTTGGGTTGCTTCCACCTTTTGGTTATTATCAATAATGCTGCAATGACATTAGAGTACAAGTGTCTGTTTGTGTCTCTGCTTTCAATTCCTTTGGGTATATAGCTAGGAGTAGCTGCAGAATATGTTCATTCTGTGGTTTCTTGAGGAACTGTTAAACTGTTCTTCATAGCATCTGCTCCATTTTGTTGTTGTTGTTGTTTGAGACAGTCTCACTCTGTCACCAGGCTGGAGTGCAGTGGTGTGATCTCGGCTCACTGCAACCTCTGCCTCCCAGGTTCAAGCAATTCTCCTGCCTCAGCCTCCCGAGTAGCTGGGACTATAGGCACGCACCACCATGCTCAGTTAATATTTGTATTTTTAGTACAGATGGAGTTTCGCCGTGTTGGCCAGGATTGTCTCAATCTCCTGACCTCGTGATCCGCCCACCTCAGCCTCTGAAAGTGCTGAGATTACAGGCGTGAGCCACCACACTCAGCCGTATCTGCTCCATTTTACACTCTTACCAGCAATATACAAGGTTCCAATTTCTACACGTCTTTGCCAACATTTAACTTTTTTGGCTTTTTTTCTCTTTAGAGACAGGAAAAACACAGACTTGCTTTGTCACCCATGCAGTGCAGTGGTGCAGTCATAGCTCACTGCAGCCTCAAACTCCTGGGCTCAAGTGGTCCTCCTGCCTCAGCCTCCCAAGTATCTGGGACGACAGGCACACACCACTACACTTGGCTATTTTTTTATTTTTAGTAGAGATGGGGTCCTGCTATGTTGCCCAGGTTGATCTTGAACTCCTGGACTCAGTGATCCTCCCACCTCAGCCTCTCAAAACACTAGGATTACAGGCATGAGCCACCATGCCCAGCCTTATTGTGGTTTTTATTTGCATTTTCATAATAATGTTGAACATCTCTTTATGTGCTTACTGGGCATTTTTATATCTTCATTGGAGAAATGTCTACCCAAGTTCTTTGCTCACTTTCAATTGAGTTGTTTAGGTTTCTTTTGTTGTCGAGTTCTAGTTCTTTACATATTCTGGATTTTTTGTTGTCATTGTTTTGTTTTTTGAGATGGAATCTCACCCTGTCGTGCCCAGGCTGGCGTGCAGTGGCGTGATCTAGGCTCACTGCCACCTCTGCCTCCTGGGTTCAAGCGATTCTCCTGCCTCAGCCTCCCAAGTAGCTGGGTTTACAGGTGCTTGCCACCATGCCCAGCTAATTTTTTGTATTTTTAGTAGAGACGGAGTTTTACCATGTTGGACAGTCTGGTCTCAAACTCCTGACCTCAGGTGATCCGCCCACCTTGGCCTCCCAAAGTGCTGGGATTACAGGCGTGAGCCATCATGCACAGCCATATTCTGGATATTAATCCCTTAACAGATACATGATTTGCAACTATTTTCTCCCATTCTGTGGATTGCCTTTTTATTCTGTTGACAGTGTCCTTCTGTGTACAAAAGTATTTCTTCTTTTTTTTTTTTTTTCTCTTGAGACAGAGTCTCGCTCTGTTGCCAGGCTGGAGTGCAGTCACACAATCTCGGCTCACTGCAACCTCTGCCTCCCAGGTTCAAGCAATTCTCCTGCCTCAGCCTCCTGAGTAGCTGGAACTACAGGCACACACCATCATGTCCAGCTAATTTTTGCATTTTTAGTAGAGACGTCGTTTCACCATGTTGGCCGGGATGATCTCAATCTCTTGACGTCGTGATCTGCCTGGCTCGGCCTCCCAAAGTGCTGGGATTACAGACATGAGCCACCGCGCCCGGCCCAAAAGTATTTCAATTTTATGAAGCCCAATTTGTATATTTTTTCTTATGTTGCCTATGATTTTGGTGTCATACTTATGAAATCTACCAAATCCAATGTCATGAAGATTTTCCTCTATGTTTAATTCTGTTTTATAGTTTTCACTACACTATTTTATTTAAGTATTTGACTCATTTTGAGTTAGTTTTTATATATGGTGTTAGGTAAGGGTCCAACTTCACTCTTCTCATGTGTATATGCAGTTTTCCCAGCACAAACTGTCGAAAAGATTGACCTTTCCCCAGTAAATGGTCTTATACCATATGTTTTTAAGATGACAGCTAAACTAAAATAATTGAAAACATAAAAACATTGTGCTAGCTAAACAAAATATGTGGAGGCTGGATTTTGACCCAAAGGCCACCAATTTATTTACAACAGTGTTTTAAGTTCATTTCACATTAAATTTTCCAAATGAACTAGGAGGAGAGAGAAACTTACTGTGGCTTACCATGTTCCAAGCATAGTGACAGGTACTGGTGATAAACTGGTCAAAAAGATTAAGAGTTTAAAGTCCTAGCGTCAGGGAGTTTGAAGCTGAGTAAGAAGATCTGTGGAAAAAAACACACTTTATTTTAGTACTTGGTCAGCAAATGTTTATAAATACGGAGCCCAAGAGGAGAGTCAGTTGAGAACAGGATTAGGAACAGTTTTTGTTTGGCTTTTTGAGACGGAGTCTCACTCTGTTGCCCAGCCTGGAGTGCAGTGGCGTGATCTCGGCTCACCGCAACCTCCGCCTCCCGGGTTCAAGTGATTCTCCTGCCTCAGCCTCCTTAGTAGCTGGGACTACAGGCGCGCGACACTACACCTGGCTGATTTTTGTGTTTTTGGTAGAGACGGGATTTCACTATGTTGGCCAGGCTGGTCTCGAACTCCTGACCTCAAGTGATCCGCCCGCCTCAGCCTCCCAAACCGCTAGGATTACAGGCGTGAGCCACCTGGCCGGCCCAGAGACAGTTTTTAGGATAAATGGAGGAAAACACAACACAACACAACATAGGTACAAATCCATGACAACTAAGAGCGTAGTCTGCAAGTACCCAACTGCCTACAGACACCTGTCTCGTCTACGGCGCTTCTTTCAGCCGGGAAAGCGTTCTTTGCGTGCTGTGACATAAAAAAGCAGCGCCGGAAGGGAGAGGGCGGAACTTCCGCCTGAGCCCCAGCAACCGCTTTGGTCTATCGTGTGGAATGTTGGGTAAGCTGCGTGCTGGCTTCGGCGCGGGTCACTGGGCGTCCATACGGCGGAGTCCTTCGTCCTCTAGGGTCCCTGCACTTTGCGTCAGCTAGAACCACTATCTTTGCACTCCTGGTAAGCGAGTTTCTTCTTTCTCCTAATGTGTGTGTTGGGGGTGGGAGGACGCCGGAGACGTTCCGGGACGCACTTAGTGGAGCATATGCGCTCGGAAGGTCCAGAGGTAAGAGGAAGCCCAGTGAATAATAAACTGTAACTAGTACAGTACCTTAAACAAAATCAGTGGTTCCTGAAACGATGTCCTTGATTGCTTTTTGCAAGTGGGGTTTTCATTTCTGTGGTATTCTAAGTCTTTACCAGTTACAAGAATAAAACTTTTAAAACTCTTTCTGAAATCAATGTTTATTAGACTGGTGCCTGGGGACTCCAGCTTAAATATTTCGGGGATTTTAAAGTAAATTGTTTTCTCTTTAAAGGGAGGCTGAGCAGGGCGCGGTGGCTCACGCCTGTAATCCCAGCACATTGGGAGGCCGAGGCGGGCGGATCACGAGGTCAGGAGATCCGAGACCATCCTGGCTAACACAGTGAAACCCCGTCTCTACTAAAAATACAAAAGAATTAGCCGGGCGTGGTGGGCGCCTGTAGTGCCAGCTACTCGGGAAGCTGAGGCAGGAGAATGGCGTGAGCCCGGGAGGCGGAGCTGGCAGTGACCCAAGATGGCGCCACTGCACTCCGATACCCCTCAAAAAAATAATAAAGGGAGGCTGAACTTTTTTTCTTTTTTTTAATGTAAGAAGCATCGAGCAAGGATATTAGGAAAATATTTGCGTGATTACTGTGAGCCAATATTTATTGACAATATTTATTGTCAAGCATTGGATTCAATGTTAACATTATAGACAAAGTCCTTGTCCTCATGGACACTAGTTAGTCCTTACCATCTAGAGAGGCAAATAGATAACCAGCCAATTACAGTACAGTGTTAGAAGTACTGTCATAGGGACAAGAGTGCTGTGAAAACTAATGGTGGAATACTAAAGTGTGAGGTGAAGAGTAGCTAGAGATGCTGATGCTGCTGACCTGGCCGCAATAGGCTTAGAAATATATGTTGGGAACAATACCAATGGATAGCAATATCCCTTGAAACAACACTGAAGGAGGACCAGATTGTGAAGCAAAGGTAGAGGGGTTATTTCGATTTGTTGCATTTGAGGTGTTTTTTGTTTGTTTGTTTGAGACAGTCTTACTCTGTCGCCCAGACCGGAGTGCAGTGGTACAATCTCGGCTCACTGCAACTTCCGCCCCCCCCCCCCCCCCCCCACCTTTTCAAGCAATTCTTCTACTTCAGCCTCACGAGTGGCTGGGATTACAGGCGTGCACCACCACACCTGGCTAATTTTTGTAATTTTAGTAGAGATGGGGTTTCACCATGTTGGTCAGGCTGGTCTCAAACTCCTGGCTTCAAGCGATCCTCCCTCCTCGGCCTTCCAAAGTGCTGGGATTACAGGAGTAAGCCGCCGAACCCGGCCTGCATTTGAGGTGTCTTTCTGATGAATGGTCATTGAAGCCACAGAAGTAAGTCACATCGCACAAGGGAAATATATAGATTGAAAAAAAGAATAGGATAGAATGCAGAGTTATACCCACCTTTAAAGGAGGGGCATCTGGACCTCAGTGCACTGGTCAGAGAGCAGGAAACCTGTGCAGGGTCATTAAATGAAGCCAAGGGAAGAAGGAATTTTTCAAGTGTTTTATTTGCATTTTGTAAAAATTTGAATTCCCTTTATTTCTTTTCCTTCAAATTTGAGACTAGTTTTACATCTGTAAGCACTTTCAATATCTCAAGGATATCCAGGCCTTTAGGATAAAATTGTGGAGCTTTTTATACATTTGTCCCAATCTTGGACATTTTCTTTGTTAAAAACATTTGCTGCAAAATAAAGCCTGAACTGGGGAAGAGTTTGTTGCTATTTTTTGATCAGTAGATCTCAGTATATTTCTGTAATGAGGGCATTGGTACAGCAGTTCCTGAGTGCTTTTTACCTGTTGCCATTCTCAGTTGCTTTCATGTCCTTTGTCTTTATTTGTTGCTTTTGTGAAGGATCTTGTGTTTGGTTCTGTATCTGGGCTTAGTGTAGAATGTAGGAGAATGTAGCATCATGATGTCAGCTGCCTTGGTGATACACAAATTTGTTGCCCAGTAACATTATCTGGGCCCCTAGATAAAAATCTGAAAAGGAAAGTTATCCTTTTAGCTAAAGCAATAGTGAAATTCATTTCTAAAATAAAAACCCAACTTTTTTTTTTTTTTTTGAGACAGAGTCTCACTCTGTCACCCAGGCTGGAGTGCAGTGGCACAACCTTGGCTCACTGCAACCTCCACCTCCCGGGTTGAAGCAGTTCTCCTGCCTCAACCTCCCAAGAAGCTGGGATTACAGGTGTCTGCCACCATACCTGGCTAATTTTTGTGTTTTTGGTAGAGATGAGGTTTCTCACCATGTTGGCCAGGCTAGGCTTGAACTCCTGACGTCAGGTGATCCACCGACGTTGGCCTCCCAGAGTGCTGGGATTACAGGCATGAGCCACTGCACCCGGCCAAGAACCCAACTAAGTTTTAAACTTTTTGCTCAATGAGTGATCACAGGCTCTAGGCCACAGGAGTCTAGGAAAAAAAATTGGTACAAAGATTTGACTTTGTGTTTCAAAAATTGATTTTATTTTGGTATTTCAGATTTATACTTGCACAATTAGTTGTTAAGTTTTAAAAATCTTAATTTTTAGTTGCATTTTTCTTCTTTTACAGGAGTTTTCATACATATCTGCTTTCCTCAAAATGAGTGTTTGTGTCAATTTCTTCAGACCCTTCACCAGGTTTTTGGTGCCATTTACCCTTCATAGGAAGAGAAATAATTTATATTCAACAATTTTGCCGAGGTACATATCTTCCAAAATACCAGCTGTTACTTCTCCTAATAATGAGAGTACACCCCCTTCTGAAGAGCTAGAATTGGATAAGTGGAAAACTACCATGAAATCTAGTGTGCAAGAAGAATGTGTTTCAACAGTCTCAAGCAGTAAGGATGAAGATCCTCTAGCTGCCACCAGAGAGTTCATTGAGATGTGGAGATTGCTTGGCAAAGAAGTACCAGAACACATCACTGAAGAAGAGCTCAAAACCATTATGGAATGTGTTTCTAAAACAGCAAAAAAAAAATATTTAAAATATTTATATGTGAAGGAAAAACACAAAAAAGCTAAGCAAATAAAAAAGGAAATGAAAGCAGCAGCAAGGGAAGAAGCAAAAAAAGTCAAGCTGCTGGAAACCACTGAGGAAGATAAACAGCGAAACTTTCTATTCTTACGACTTTGGGATAGGAATGTAAACATTGCAATGGGCTGGAAGGGTGCCCAGGCCATGCAGTTTGGACAACCTTTGGTTTTTGACATGGCTTACGAAAATTATATGAAACCAAAAGAATTGCAGTATACTATTTCCCAGCTTTTAGAAAGTGAAGGATGGAACAGAAGAAATGTTGATCCTTTCCATATTTATTTCTGCAATCTAAAAACAGATAGTGCTTATCACAGAGAGTTGGTTAAACGGTATGAAGAAAAATGGGACAAACTGCTTTTAACAGCAACAGAAAAGTCTCATGTAGATTTATTTCCAAAGGACAGTATTATCTATTTAACTGCAGATTCTCCCAATGTTATGACTACTTTCAGGCATGACAAAGTTTATATAATTGGGTCTTTTGTTGATAAGATGATGCAGCCAGGCACATCCCTAGCCAAGGCAAAACGGCTGAAGCTGGCAACTGAATGCCTTCCATTAGATAAATATTTACAATGGGATACTGGTAACAAAAATCTCACCTTAGATCAAATGATGCGTATTTTGTTATGTCTGAAAAACACTGGTAATTGGGAAGAGGCTCTGAAATTTGTTCCCCAGAGAAAACATACTGGTTTTCTGGAGATTTCTCAGCACTCTCAAGAGTTTATCAACAGATTGAAGAAGGCAAAGACTTTTAATTCATTTTCAAAAGGTTCTCTAAATGTGTGTGCACAGAAGAAGTGGCTCAAATGAGAACATTTCATGGCCTAAAAAGTAAATGGGTTGGAAATACAGTTCTGTTAATATATTTCTTCCCAAATAATTCATTTTTCTCTTCTAAAGGTAGTTTTTCCCAACTGACTGCAGGGTTGTGTCTTTTCCCAATTAAATATCTGCAGAACTTTGGGATTATACTTTGTTTACTGTAAAAAGATAATAAGTAAAAAGAATTGTCCAATATTGTTGAACAGAATCATCTTTAAATTATCCCAAATAAATAGTTGTACCATTGGTAGACTTTTTTATGGAGGTTCCTAGAGGGTGGTGCCCTGGGGAGGGCTTGGAAGCTCTGCACCCCTTCCCCCATACCTTTCCCTGTGCATCTCTTCATCTGTATGTTTTGTAATGTCTTTTATAGTAAACTAGTAAATGTGTTTGCTTCAATTCTATGAGCCACTCAAGCAGATTAATCGAGGAGTTGGTACTCCAACTTGAAGCCCGTCAGTCAGAAGTTCTGTAGGCCCAGATTTGCAACTTGTGCTGGGGTGGAAGGAGGGAGCAGTTTCGGGAACTGGGCCCTCAACCTGTGGGCTCTGACGCTATCTCCAGGTAGATAGTATCTGAATTGAATTACAGAACACGCGGCTGGTGTCCAGTGCAGAACTGATTGCTTGTGTGTTGATGAGAAATTCCCCCACATTTGGTCACAGAAGTCTTCTGTCTGTGTTGCTTGTTGAGGGAGAAAATAGGAAAAAGGACTTTGAGGTTGTGGGGGGTTTTCCATACAACTATGAAAAACGGGTTCACGGATAAAACTGATTTCTTGTCCTCTTATGGAAAAAGGGATTTATGCTTGGTGCACTGGCTCACTCCTGTAATCCCAGCACTCTGGGAGGCCATCGCAGGCTGATCACTTGAGCCCAGGAGTTTGATACCAGCATGGGCAACATGGTGAAACCCCATCTCTAAAAAAAATACAAAAATTACCCAGGTGTGGTGGTGTATGCATGTAGTCCCTGCTACTTGGGAGGCTGAGGTGGGAGGATCTCTTGAGCCCGGGAGGTGGAGGTTGCAGTGAACCAACATTGCACCACTGTGCTATAGCCTGGGCAACAGTGAGACCCTGTCTCAGAAACTAAAAATAACATTTTTGAAAACATGGGAGATAGGAATGATATAGGCAACTATTCCTAATTTCTGAATTGGAAATTAGCATAAGCGTCCAATGCATTTCTTTTTTTTGTTTTTTGTTTTTTGTGATGGAGCCTCACCTTGTAACCCAGGCTGGAGTGCAGTGGTGTGATCATGGCTCGCTGCAGCCACAATCTCCTGGGCTCAAGTGAGCCTCCTGCCTCAGTTTCCCAAGTAGCTGGAATTTTAGAACCCTGAATGATGCCCTGTTGCAGGGTTGCATTTGCTAGAAAAGACGCCATTTCTTCATACAAAGACTGTCCGTCTTTAGGCCATGTGCTTAAAAGATTGCATCCACTAAGGAGGTATTCCTTTCCTAATTTGCCCAAAGACAGACAAGGTGACATCTCCACAGAATTCAAGTGAGAGTAAGCTATGAAGATATGAGGGAAGGGAATTCCAAGCAAAAGGAACAAGTGTAAAAGCCCTTGAGAGAGGGTTCAAGGTCCAACAAGGAGGTTGGTGCGCCTGAAGCAAAAGGAGCTGATCAGGTCAGAGGAGTGGCTAGATCTGTCAAGTAACGCATCTTAAGCCACCATAAGAACTTTGGTTTTTACCAGAAGATCAGATGGTCTTCAACTAAAAAGTGACATCTGACTTATGTTTTAATAGGAAAACTGAATATTAGCTCTGTGAAGGCAGGAAATCGTTTATTTTTATTTTTTATTCACTGTTACATCCCTAGAGCCTAGTGCTTAAACATTTGAATAGATGAATGTGACTCATTCTCCACCACCCACCCCCAAGGTTTTGTATATTCTACGTGAAAACGTTAACAGAAACTTTTTCCTCCAGCCCAGATATAAATCTGAAATGGGTGATTTTTTTCCTCCCCTTCCTTGGATGATTTCTTCCTCTTTCTCTGATTCTTGTCTTTTCTTGCCCACTTGCTACCACCACCCCATTTAGGGATCTTCATCTTGTCTTCATCTCCTCCCACCTGTCCCACCCCACCCCAAATTGGATTCAGTTTTAAATGATCGCTTTGGCTGCTATGTTGAGAATAGATTATAAGAGAGAGACCAGTTAGGAGGCTATTGCAGTAACAAAAGTGAGAGATAATAGGTAGGTAGTGAGACGCAGTCAGATCTGAATGTGTTTAGTCTGAAGGGGTAAAGCTGGCAGTAATAGATTGGATGGGAGAAAGATAAAATTTAGGTACGACTTCAAGATTGTTGACTAGAGAAACTGGAAGGACTTGTTACTATTTACTGAAATGCAGAAGCTTTGAGGGGGCAGGTAATCCAACGTTAACTTTGGGACATTTTACAGTTGCCTATTAGATGTCCAAGTGGAGATGTCAAGTGGTCAGTTGGATATATGAGCCTGGAGTTCAGGGACAAGGTCTGGCTGGAGATGTTAATAATGTAGTTAAATGCTCCAGACTAGTTGAGGCCATCTGGGGAGTCTGTGTGGATAAAGATATCTGATGTCTGACCCCTGAGGTACTCCAACATTTAGAGGTGTGGGAGATGAGAAGGAACCGGCAAATAAGACTGAGGTAGAGCAACCAGTAAGAAACGAGAGAAAATGTCCTGGAGGCAAAATGAAAAAAAGTGTTTCATGCTGCAGATCAAGTAAGATGAAGTCAGAACTGACCACTGAATGTAGGAATGAGGACATTGCTGATTATCTTGACAACAGCAATTTCAATGGAGGGTTGAAAAGAAAGCCAATTGGAGTAGCGTTAAAAGAGAGTGGACAAAGCCAGGTGCAGTGGCTCAGGCCTGTAATCCCAGCACTTTGGGAGGCCGAGGCTGGCAGATCACCTGAGGTCGGGAATTCAAGACCACCCTGACGAACATGGAGAAACACCATCTCTACTAAAAATATGAAAAAAAAAAAAAAAAAAAAAGCCAGGCATAGCAGTGCATGCCTGTAATCCCAGCTATTTGGGAGGCTAAGGCAGGAGAATCGCTTGAACCTGGGAGATAGAAGTTGCAGTGAGCTGAGATCATGCCATTACACTCCAGCCTGGGCAACAAGAGCAAAACTCTGTCTCAAAAAAATTTAAAAAAAAAAAAAAGGAGAAAAGTTTGAGCTAGTGAGCATGGTGGTGTGTGCCTTTAGTCTCAGCTACTTGGCGGGCTGAGCCAGGAGGATCGTTTGAGCCTATGATGTGGAGGTTGCAGTGAGCCATGATCATGTCATTGCATTCCAGGTTGGGTAACAGAGCAAGACCCTGTCTCAAAAGATAAAATAAAGAATGGACAGATATAGGAGATGGAGTATGAACAATCTTTTCAAAGAGTTTCTATATGAAGGGAAATAGGAATGAGGAGCTAGAGGAAGATATGAGATCAAGAGAAGAGTCTTTTATTAAGATGGGAGACATAAAAGTATGTATGTATGATGTTGGGAATGCCTCAATAGTAGAAAGAAAAATCGGATGGAACAATAGTGATGTGTGTAAACAAGGACAGGCTCCACTTCATAAATTTTAGGGCCCTAGCCACTGAGTCAACTGAATCAGAAACTGGCAGTGGGGCCCAGCAATCTATGTTTTAAAATGCCCTTCGGGTGACTCTGATGTACACTGAAATTGAGAATAGTCTAAGGACATGTAGTAGAATTATAAGGCTACATTAAGAACCTACTTAATGGCTTACGTCTGTAATCCCAGAATTTTGGGAGGCTAAGGCAGGAGGATCACTTGAGCCCAGGAGTTCAAGGCTGCAGTGAGCTATGAGCCACTGTACTCTAACCTGGGCAACAGAATGAGATCCTGTCTCAAAAAAAAAAAGAAAAAAAAAAAAAAAACCTATTTAAGGTTAGTGAAATCATGATTAGCCACTTTTCTTCTCCACTCTAATTTTTTTTTGGTAGCTCTTGGCCTGAATTTCAAGTTCAGCTCCACTTCTTCCCTTTTCCGTGCCTAAATTCCCTCTTCCATAAAAATGGGAGTAATAGTAGCACTTAAGTCATAGGGTTGTAATGATTTAATGTACTTAATTTCATGTAGAATACCTACAACAATGCTTGGTGTATAGTAAGCTTGAATAAATGTTAGATATTATAGTTGTCACCTCACAAATTACACATCTAAATTAACATAACAATTGCTCGTATTACCTTCCATGTCCAACTTTTTAAACCACTTAAATAGCTCATTAGAGGTTATAATCCATAGCTACTACTAAGCAAGCTCTCACCATGGCCAGGCAGCATATTATAGATTTTACGTTTATTATCTCACTTAATGCCTTCAGTAACCTTATATGAATTATTCCATTTGTATAGTTATAACATATTCCATAACATTTTTATCCAGTCCAAACTCACAGAATTAGCAAAAGGCAGAGTTAGAATTTAAGTCCAGTTTTTGTGTGGTACAAAACTAATGCTCTTTGCCTTGGACTACATTGCCTATTCATTGTCAGAAAACAATACCTCAAAATTCAGTGCTTTGACATGCTGAACTAGAGAAGCAGCCACAAGGTGTCTCTGATCTCCCCACCCAACCTCCTGCCTCTCAATCCTCTGCCTCCCCCAAAACACAGGATAAGACTGTTCTTTGAAGTTTCTTACCTACCTAGAAACCAGACCCATCAAAGAACACAATTGCTTTCTATCTCCTTCCTCCCTGAAATTTCATTAACCAGAAGAAATTAAAACATATCACAAAGCCAGACACAGTGGTGCACACATGTAGTCCCAGCTACTTGTGAGTCTCAGTTGGGAGGATTCTTGAGGCCAGGAGTTTGAGGCTGTAGTGTGCTATCATCATGCCTGTGAATAGCCACCACACTCCAGCCTGGGCAACACAGTGAGACCTGGTCTCATGAAAAAAACAACTCACATCACAGAGAAAGAGACTGAAAATTAACCACCACACTTAGAGCCCAAACTTTGCCTCAAACTACTGTTTTTTGTTTTTGAGACAGGGTCTCACCCTATCACCCCGGATGGAGTGCAGTGGCGAGATCTTGGCTCACTGCAATCTTGCCTCCTGGGCTCAAGTGATCCTTCCATCTCAGCCTCCCTAGTAGCTGGAATCATGGGAGTGAGTCACTCACCCCCGGCCTTCAAATTATTGTTGGTTCTCTAGTTTCACTTGGTTTACAAAGAGAATAATTTACAAGTGAATTTCTGCATTACTATCTCCTAAAATCATTTACTACTCCTCTAAAATTGCCTGTAGTCCCCCCACCTCTCTCTCCCCTGTGAAAAGTATTTAAGCTTCAACCATCTGACCCTTATTGAGTTTTCTTATTTTGTTGTATTGTTCCCCACGCTTATGCACATTAATTTGTTAGGCTTCTCTCATTAACCTGTCTTTTGTTATAAGCATGTTGTCATGACTTTTGATGGGGAGGAAAGTGATCATCCCCTTTCCACCCCTTCATACTGCACTACCTTTTCATTTCCTAACCCGTTTGTAGGCTACTGACGTTTGCATTAATTTCTTCAATAGATATTTATCCAGACTAGTATAATCCAGGTGCTGGGGAAACAGTGGCGAACAAGACAGGCACATCTCATGAAACTCACGGAACTGAAAGGTGAATGGATTACTATCTTCATCCTTTTTTTGTTTTGTTTTTTTCCCTTACATACGTAGTCCTGCACATCCTTAACTTCTGCAGTGTGGTATATGGGAACTGGATCCGCTCCTATACAGGTTTGTGACTTCTCTGAGCTTTATCTTCTTCACTTAAAAATTACAAGAATCGGCCGGGCGCGGTGGCTAATGCCTGTAATCCCAGCACTTAGGGAGGCTGAGGTGGGCGGATCACAAAGTCAGGAGATTGAGATCAGCCTGGCCAACATAGTGAAACCCCTTCTCTACTAAAAATACAAACAGCCGGGTGTGGCGGCACGCACCTGTTGTCCCACCTACTCAGGAGGCTGAGGCAGGAGAATCGCTTGAACCCAGGAGGCGGAGGTTGCAGTGAGCCGAGACCATGCCATTGCACTCCAGCCTGGGTGACAGAGTGAGAGACTCCATCCCCCCACCAAAAAAAAAATTACAAGCATCTATAAATACATAATCTCAAATAAAAATCTTCGCGTACACCTCCATTTTTAAAATGCTCTCTTTTCACTGAGGAGGTGGAGGACAGTCTCAAGGATTACCTTGAAAAGATCACGAGGAAAATGAAACAAACATGAATTAAGTACCTGTAAGATAGTTTCCTGGTTACTTTTACATACATGATGATAAATGATGGCTCAGGGACTTCAACCTAGATCACAAAATCACCACCACACTGCCCTGCTTCTGTCATGGGAAACACATTTTGATACTTTCTTCATTCTTTCTCCACTCCCTGGACTTGAAGCCCGAGGTGTAATCCATCTGCAAATATTGAACACTTTTCATATATGAAACGCACAGCACAGTTTTTAAAAACTGGGTCTCTGTTTTCAAGGAACTTTTGAGCCATTCACAGACAACAGTTTAAAAACACACACGCCAGGCGCGGTGGCTCAAGCCTGTAATCCCAGCACTTTGGGAGGCGGAGACGGGCGGATCACGAGGTCAGGAGATCGAGACCATCCTGGCTAACACGGTGAAACCCCGTCTCTACTAAAAAAATACAAAAAACTAGCCGGGCGAGGTGGCGGGCGCCTGTAATCCCAGCTACTCGGGAGGCTGAGGCAGGAGAATGGCCTAAACCCGGGAGGCGGAGTTTGCAGTGAGCTGAGATCTGGCCACTGCATTCCAGCCTGGGCCACAGAGTGAGACTCCGTCTCAAAATAAATAAATAAATAAATAAATAAATAAATAAATAAATAAATAATAAAAATTTAAAAAACACACACACACACACAAATTGAGGGAAGTATAAAGTGACCAAATAATGGTATACAAAAATGATCTCATTTGAGCCCTATTACCACTCTTTGAGGAGGCACTATTATTATTTCTCTTTTATAGAGAAGAAAAGGTAGGTCTGTAGGCAGTAAGCAAGTCTATAGATTACTCAAGCAGGAAAGGGCAAAACAGATTCAAATCCAAGTTCTGACTCCTAAGACTTTCTCTAACTATATATTGTAGAGCAAACCCAGAAATTCCAGTTCCCTAAGCAAGTAATAGACCCCATTTTGCTAGGAGGGCTGGATAAATACTGAGAAAGGGGTAAGATGAAGCCGAAAAGGTAGGCTAGGGCCTAATGTAACTCACGGACTTCATTCTGCAGACTGTAGGAATCCACTAAAGATTTCTTAGTAAAGCAAAAATTACCGCAGTCTGAACTTGACACAGTAGTTTCTCAACTTCGTAGAAGCACCCTGTAGAAAAAGTAGATTTACAGTTGGCTACCTGACTTGGACAAATTACTCTCTCTGGCCTCAACTCTCACAGCTAATTGAGAGAATTCTATATTTGGCCAATCGCGGTGATTAAACGAGTGTATGAAAGGCGTCTGAAGCTAGGGGGCGCTACATAAACGCTGATTTCCCGTTTAAATAGGGAAAAAGAATGCGGGCTTTTTGTTTACATAGAGTTGGCAGGCATACGTTATCCAGCAAGGCCGGAACAGAAGACCCTCTCAGCCTCAGCTGCAACCACACCTGGGTATGCAGAAACCTTCTAAGATCCCAGCGTTTCCAGGGAGATGCTCCATTTCCCCTCACTTCTCGGGACGTGTCGCTGGACCATGAAGACCTCACTACCCTCTAATATAAAGTCCCTAGCCAGCACTCCACTTAGACCACCCAACCATCCCAGCTCTTCCTTCCGAGGCGGCTACTCCATGACATCACAGCCACTTCCGTTTCCGAAGGGGGCCTCTTTTCATTCTTCGGGACCGCTCTAGGCCGCCACCACGCCGGCTGGCCCCAAAAACTCAATGGTTGCTGGGCGGGGTCGTGACGTCCTTGGCGTGGCTGCAAGGGAGGCCGCGGCGGGGAAAATGGCGGACGGGAAGGCGGGAGAGGAGAAGCCTGAAAAGTCGCAGCGAGCTGGAGCCGCCGGAGGTGAACACAACCCCAGCGTCGCGGGCAGCGTGGGATGCTCCGGGCCTTTCTTTGAGCTCCCCAGGGTGGGGGGAGTGGGGTGGGGCGAGAATGGGCGGACCTGGACCTCACCCGGCCAGGTGCTGGGCCCAGACCTGCCTCGGGCACGCCCGGTGCGGCCCGCTGGGCTCCTGGCCCACATCGCCTCCTTGCCGGGGGAGAGGTGGCCACTGGTCGTCACCTCCTGGCCCCAGCGGAGGCCCTGATTTCGAGGAGAAGGGAGATGGGCGCCAGAAAGGGAGACCGAACTCGGGGTGGGACCAGGAGCGGCGGTGCAGGAGCCGCTACCGCCACACCGGAGACGCATATCACACAAAACACACACACCGGAGACGCTCATGAGACAAAACATACACACAGTGCAAGCCACCGAGTAGTTGCCGCGGGAACTGGCCGCAGGCCGAGTCTCTGACGGTGCCGGCCTCTCAGTTCCACGCAGGAGTTAATTACGCTTGCTGCTCTCTTTTCACTGAGGAGGTGGACAACTCCGGCCTGCTCTCTTTCCTTTAGTTCCAAGTTTAATACTGACCCTGTGACAGGGTGGGCCGAGGTGATGGAGGGGAAGAGGAATGCCTTTGCCTGCCCTCTGGTTTAAGCTGTGGGGTCTAGGGCTAAGGTTTGCTTGCCTTTCTTTGAAGTATTTCCCTTAGGCTGTTGCCAGCTGACCGCTTGCCAGATACTTAGGCAACTAAATAGTCTAGCGTGACTCTTCCTGTATTTTGTTACAATGTTAAACTCAGGTTACAGCTATCCTTATTCTGTCCATTCCACTCCCTAAATTCGGGTCTTGTGCGTTAAGGAAAAGAAACATGTAATCTCTCCCTCCCTCTTTGCACGTAACAAGACAAGTGACTTAACACGTGCGAGCTGTTTAAAATGTTTTTAGAGTATTTTAAACATTGTTCTCTATTCTGACCACCTCAGTTATCATTCCGGAAATTATTTAATATGAGAAAATAGAAACGATTAATAGCATATGAAGGCCACTAGTAGACCTACTAACATGTTTCATGTGAATTGCCTTGGGAACAAAAATTATTGAAAAGATTAAGTGTAATGTTAATTACTTTGGACCCAGGATTTCCTTCTTAAAAAAACACGTACGGTTCTGTTAAGCTGAAACTCCATCTCTCTCGCCTCCCCACCCCCTGCTTTTTTTTTTTTTTTTTTTTTGACTAGTAAAATACCTTATGAAAGAACAATTTAAACTATCTACTGCTTTCTCACTAGTGAATTTTTTTCCCAAAAAAATTGTCTTGGAAATTGTGGGATAAAATTACATAAAAATTTAAAAGCAGTTTGAGGAAAAGCAAAAAAATTTAGAAGTAGTTTGAGGAAAAGTCTAAAGAATCATGTGTTGACTTTAAGGCCATCTCGTTAACTGTCTTGACCGAGGGTAGCAGATGTGTTTAATGTGCTGTCAAAATGTACCTTGAATGTCATCATAAATCCACTGTATAATTTATCTGCCATTCTTTTAGTTGAGGGTTATTAGTTCTACAGTACGAATATTGATGTTTCCATTTTAGCATGTGGGGAGAAATAGTATAAAATTACTTTGCTAATTGGTATCAGAAAAATTATTATGGTCTTTTTCGTGGTAACTTAGAGTAAGTAATATCCCTTAACTTCTATATAATTTGTCTCCTTGTCGTTACAAGAAAGTAGTGCTGTTACATTTAAGCCATTTTTGAATGTCAGATATTTTTAATGAAATTGTGCAGAGGAGTCATAATTAAAATATGTCATACCGTGGATATTGCTAAATTGGTAATTTTGTGGCAGTCACTTTTTTGAAAACACTGTCAAGTTTGTCTTAGGGGCTTAACTAGAGAATGTTCTGAATTGTAATTCCTGTTGAGCAGTCTACTGAGTTGGAAGTATAAGTATTTTTTTATGAGTAGTTTCCATTAATTTTATTTTTTATTTTTTATTTTTTTTTGAGATGGAGTCTTGCTCTGTCGTCAGACTGGAGTGCGGTGGCGCAACCTCGGCTCACTGCAAACTCCACCTCCCAGTTCAAGTGATTCTCCTGCCTCAGCCTCCCAAGTAGCTGGGGCTAGAGGCCCGTGCCACCACGCCCAGCTAATTTTTGTATTTTTAGTAGAGATGGGGTTTCACCATGTTGGCCAGGATGGTTTCAATCTCTTGACCTCGTGATCCGCCTGCCTCGGCCTCCCGAAGTGCTGGGATTACAGGCGTGAGCCACCGCGCCTGGCCAACATTAATTTATGTCTGTGAGAGAAGCTACTTATTTGAACTCCCTGCTTTAAAGAATAGGGTAAAACTTTGGTAGTTTTTTTTTCTCTGCTCTTTGGTTATATCTGTGTAGCTCTCTGAAAAAATGTTAGGAGAAATAACGTTAGAAATAATGTTGAAGAAGAGCTAGTCATACATAATCATGGCCATCTCAAGCTTTTTTGGTTATACCAAGAACTGCGTGAATGAAATTGACATTTATTATGCCAGACACTAGTAGGGTCTTGAACACCTTCTCATTTAGGCTGCACACCTCTGTGCATACTAGAGAGGTAGCTCTGCCCTTCTTTCAAAAAAGGAAGCAACTAGAATACAAATGGATGATGAAGGGTACCCTTATGGACTTAAACTTGCTTATTAGGTAATTTTTTCTCTCTTTCCTTTTTTTTTTTTTTTTTTTGAGATGAAGTCACGCTCTGTCGCCCAGGCTGGAGTGTAGTGGTGTGATCTCAGCTCACTGCAACCTCTGCCTCCTGGATTCAAGCGATTCTCCTGCCTCAGCCGCCCGAGTAGCTGGGATTACAGGCGCTCACCACCTTGCCCATCTTAATTTGTATATTTAGTAGAGACGGGGTTTTGCCACGTTGCCCAGGCTGGTCTCAAACTCCTGACCTCAGGTGATCCACCCGCCTCAGCCTCCCAAAGTGCTGGGATTACAGACATGAGCCACTGTGCCCAGCTTACTAGGTAATTTTTCAAAGTAACGTACCTTTGTGCTCTAAGGCTCACCCCTCTCCAATTAGTCAATGAAAAAAAAATGCTAGTACCATGTGTAATTTTATTTCATATTAATTATATGTTTTATTTGCTCAATACAAATTAGATAAAATTCCTTTTATTAAAATATTCCTTAGTAAAGAATCTAGTGATTTGCTATTTTATCCATGTTTTATGTTCTAAATTGATAAGTGATTTTCTCATTTTTAAAAAAACTGATTGTGTATTTAGTCATTCTTTGGTGTATAGATTGTTTCTACATATAAAGCCAGCAGGTTTTTTGTATGTTTCTCTGTTCCAATGTGTAGAGCCAAAGAGATTTTTATTTTAACTGTGTGTCAGTCACAGGAAAGTAGTTATTGTTTGGGTTTCACTATGAAATGTCATACTTTATTAGAACTACAAATAGAATACAGAATAAAATTAGCATAAGTGCTTTTAGTTATAAACTGAGACTGACAAAACTGCATCATACTCTTTTTCAAAGATATTCTGTGCTTTGTAAATTGAGTTCCATTTTTCAGCTGTTGAATAGCAATCTTGATTCTTTAATTTTTCAGGTGCTTTTGTGATTTTATATATAAATAAGAGAATGGCACCTCAAGCAACCATTTCAGTGCTATCTTTGTCTCTTAGGGAAATCCCAAAACATAATCCTGCTTAATTTCCCTCCCCTATACTGACTTTACAACTTTTACTCCTTGTCCAAAGAGAATAAAGAGTTTCTTTTATTTTTCATCTAAACAGAATCAAATGTTTTGTTCAAAGTTCTTATTAATCTAGAGACCCCATTAGTCCAAAACTATATAGATCTAGATCTGTAGCCTCTGATCTTTAATCCTTTGCTTGTCAGTCTATTTGTGTTTGACTTTTTTTCTCCCCATTCTAGCTCTGTGTCCTGCTTTCTTAACTGTTATCAAGGCCACCTTTTGGAGCATCTTCTTTTTCTCCATAAATAAGCTCTTGATCCAGTGTAGCAGAATACATCCTACATGGTGAATGGGCAAACTGGGGAAAGAAAATAAAATTTTTAATGATCAGCCAGCCTTCTTCTGTCTTATCGCCTGATATGTTCTTAGTCTTACATAACAGACCCAAGAAAGTCAGAATGTGAACTAATTTCATCATTGACTTCATACAAACAGAAGCAAAATTAGCAAGACATTTTGCCTTCCAAACCTACATATGTATGCTTTCTACTGTTTGAAATTATGATTAACTCATTTTTCATGAAAAAATCTAAGATATAAACCAAAGTAAGATTTTTTTTTTAAATAGTTCTTATGGGTAGCTTAAAACAGGTAATAACCAAATTGTCAGAGTAGAATTAAAATTCTCAAGAGGGAGTGACCTTGAAGTTCCTTTTCAACTCCTAAGATTGTGTGAAATTTACATGAGGAACATATCACTCAAGAAAATAACTAGGCTGTATTAACATTGTCATTTGGGTAATAATGGGCCTGTTTATAACTAGGTACTTTGTATGATTATTACTGCATTACTGAAGAATATTATAATTTGTTATCCAAGTATATTCTTTTACCATGTGACTGATTGCTCACAAACTACTAAGTGTAAAAGATGTTAGATAGATCTGATTTCTAAAAAGCAAAATTCCACAGATAACCAGATTATTGTGCAAATTGTAGTGTTTAGTTGAAGGGTCTTTACTTTTTGTGAACTCTGTGTTTATAATTTTAAATTGCTCTGTATTTGATGCTAGTTAATTCATGGGAGCCTCTTCTGCTGCCACACACTCTCAGTTCCTGCTGTATACTCTAACAAACAGTGGAAGAGACTGGTGGGTCA